AGATTTGTAACTGCTACAATTTAATCTTCTCTAAAATTATTACTTTATTCTTGGGATTTTAAATTTGAAATAGAAACTTATCAATTGTGCGTGTCGTGTGTATCTTATCAATCGGTATCGTACAAACTATACGTTTACAACGTAACAACCACGTATTATTCTTATCGCAAATCAGAAAAATAATGGTTTCAAAGGTATTATAAAGGGTTTAACCATCACATCTACTTTTTATTTTTATTGCGCAGCTTACATTTAATTCGTTCGTACCAGTCTACAATTAACATTGAATCGAAATATTTACAAGAATTAAGAATTGAAGAAGAAGAATTGTATAAGATTTTCATTCCCGATTAATAATAACACGTTCAATTTATTTGACAACAATCGCGTGCAGAGTCAGAGAAATATTTCTAACAATAAATATTCCTAATCTGAAAAGAACAATAATCGCATAATTGCAATAAATAAAGTCGTTCGATCAGTTATACATGCAGTTAAATTATTATACATTTTATCAAGTTCCGCGTAAATTCGTTATATCTCGAATAGTCATCTATTAAAAAAATAAAAATTACGTGGTATCACGCAATCGATAAGAAATATCCATCACGATGCATCAGAATCAGTGTTCCAGATCCGTCTCGATCCCTCGACGCCATTGCGAATTCCCAAGTTGCGTGCCTCGTTCGCACATATATGCCCTGAATATGTCTCTCCGAAAACATCGTGGCTCACACGTGCTCGTAACTTGTGGTAATTATTACACGATCCTAAACGTCCCGACCGGCTTCTCCACCTCTTGCCACGTTGTTTGCCATGGTAAAACAAAGACGAGGTCGAGGTGTGTGGACACACGAGGCGGGATGGTGGCAATAAAATGGCGGGCGCTACATCGATTACGAGTCCTGAACGGAAGTTGGCCCACGATCGGGCAATAACTCTAAATATCGAGATATCGACCGTGTGGCCCCATTTCTACGGATTAGCTCGGCTGTGAATAACGTCTCGTCTAACACCGCCCATTACACCGGCGTTCTTTCTCTCTCTCTCTCTCTCTCTCTCTCTCTCTCTCTCTTTCTTTCTTCTATTCTCTTCTTTTGCTCGATTTATCACCATGATTTCGTGGATGCGTTCGCAGGCAGGATTATGAAGTTGACGTATGAGTCGTTTACGAATGATTAAACAGGAAGCTAAGGTGGATAACAACCCATTGTTGTTGTTATTGTTGTTGGTGATGGTGGTGGTGCATTGTTTGAAGATTCATGAACGAGATACGCGAGTTGGAGCGGAGATTGGATTCGAATTGGATGTTAGGAGTGGTACTTAAAATTTATGGAAAGTGTACGGAGTTATAAATTTTAATATCGTTATTTGAGGATTGTTAAACAGGTCGTTTAAAGATTATATTGGGACTATTAAAAATGGCAACGTGATTATTTTATTTGAAAAAAACATATGTAAAAAGTAAAAAGGATCTTTTTTTTCGAGATGATTTTAAAATAATCGATATTTTTTTTTTCTTTCTATATTTTTATAAAAAGAAATATAAAATCATCACTTTCATTTATAAAAGTTTGATTTATATATGTATAAATTGATGTGTAATTTACTTTTTATCAATGTTCTCAGACAATTGACAAGATGCTTATTTAATACAATTTACGTCGTTCTCGTTCTTCGTTTATAAATTCTATTATACTAAACGTTAAGAATCGCTGGAAGATTATTCGAAATCTCGATTATTAGAAATCGTTTTTCCAATTGGCAGACAATTAGCAGGATTATTATTGTTTCTATGTCAAAAGGTTCCTTTTCGATATAACTAGATTTATATAATTGCATTTGCGTCGAGGCACAGTTATACAATTTTTTATTCTCGCGTAAAATCGTTGGCGCCGCGGTTTATTTTAACAATCCTCTCTTGCTTCCCATTTTTCCTTTTCCTTGCCTTCTTTTCCTTTTTTTTTTTTTTCGTTAATTTTAACGAGACTGGCACGCGCTAACGATGCAATATACATCCAATTACTTTCACACCTTGCTCCCTCTAATTGTTAATTTCGTTTACGTTTTCCGCAATTAAATGTTTAAAAGGTGCTTGATTCCTTTTTTTTTTTTCACAATGAGAATATTGTTATGTCCGTTCACAGTTCAAGATGGTCAAACAAAAATAAAATCCTCAGAATTTTCAAAAAACCCTAACAACATTCGTGAAATTGGAATTCCTCGGCTGCCAGAGTTGAAGTTTGTCCACGAATTTGAGCTGTCAACCATACAACCAAAGTTGTCCTCCCTTTTAATTTCGCGCGTTAATCTCGAGTCTTCAGCAACAAGTTCTCGCTGATTCACAGGGACAGAGAATTCTCGCGAATCCTTACAATTCTCGAAAGAAATAAAACTGAGCGCAAATTTCTAGAGCTTGCATCGGGCTTGAAATGAAGTCACGTAGTTGCTTGATACTCTTGGAAAATGTTTTCAGGGTTATGCGACTTCAAGAAATAGTCCCTACCCGAATTGAACCAGTCAAATTTACAATCTTTGAGAAAATTTCCAAAGCTTAAAAACTCGCGACCAGAAAACTGTCATTTTTTCCATCTTTCTTTTTCTTCCTTAATTCGCCGTTTTTCTCTTATTCCCTCATATCACAGTAATTCGAAATTTCGCTGAAATTGCATGATTAAAATTTAAGTTTATATTTTATATGAAGAATCTATTTCTATATTAAATAGAACAAAAGTAAATCGTTAAGTTTCAAGAGAATTGTTATTCATTGTACAATCGACTGCAAGCTGTTGTCCTTCTGAGGATCTATAATTTAATATAGCTTCTGAATTAACTAGCAACACGATAAAATATTAAAGAGAACGCAATCTATTCCTAACTTTGCAATACTCTCACCAACAATGCTGAATCAACTTCCAACGTTGCAATGACTGTAATGATACTAAATCACATGTTATAGAGTATAAAGTTCATTGAAATTTTATCTATATTTTCATTATTGAACGTTGCTAGCAGGGCCACTGCTTCAGAGTTGGTATCCTTTTGTTTATTCATTCACGTATAACCAAAATATATCCATTCTAAATCTGTATATTTTTTATTTATTGTTCACCACTGCATAACCAGCCAACATCACATATCGAATAGTGGCACCGATATTTTTTAAGTGTACAGCAATTTCTCGATCCTTATCACTGCACTGTGTTGAAAAATGAGATACAATTTTATATACAATTTTTTTTTTAGTATCGAAAAATTCATCAGCAAGAAAATAACTCCTTAAGCAACAGTTTCGCAATAAATTGACTCCTAGCTTCGAAATATTCTTCGAACGATCAAGTTATTGCTAGCACGAAGCCACTCTCGTCCCAGGAACTCCTGACGCACGTGAAAAGTATCGAGCCGAGCGCGAAACGAGCGCGGCTCCCTTTGTCGAAGTCGCGGGAAAAAACGGAAGGGTCGTTCCAGAAATAAACAGAACGAAACGCAATGGAACTGTGAAACGAAAGCTCCGACAAAGCGCGTCACTTTGTTATTCCTTTTTCCCTTTTTTTCTTCCCCTCCCTTATCGCGCGTATAAACGATAACGAAGCCAGGTCAGATCGATATCTGGGCCTGGGCGTGGAAGGGGGTTGGAATTTACCATTCTTTTATCGAGTCGACATCGACTCGACACGAGGGCGGGCGAACGGAAACGAGGGTTAGACTGGCCCGAAGGAAGGCCACCAGCAGGAACTTCTTTACCTGACGGCAACTTCGAAATCCTTTTATTTGCTCCCTTCGTGGCGGCGAGGCTTTGGGCCGCCTCGAGGGTGTCGGAGGGGTTCCTCGTCGCTTGGCGACTTGGAACTCAAGGACGCGGAAATAAAATCGAAGCGCATCGAGGAGGGGGGGGGGGGGGAGGAGGGACAGAAAGACTGTGGAAGAAGGGGAGGGATGGGCTTCGAGTTTCTTTTAACGAGCCGGTCGAGCGGCAAAGTTCTTTTCACCGCTATTAACTTGGCCGTGGCTTGGTCGGCGGTGGAAGAAGGATTCATGTAAAATTCATCCCGAGTTAACGGCCACGGTTCTTGGCCGATCATGGCACCAGGGAAATGAACTTTTATGAAATTTTTCCCTTTTCGTTCGAACACTCTCGTTTACTCGGGTGTTAATTAACTTGTTAATGATAAACATTAATTCTTTTTAACATCTTATTTACAAACTTTGTTTAATAATCTTCTTCCATCTAATCGTACAAAACTTATAAAACTTGGATGTAGCAGAACACTTCGTTACTCGAATGTTTTGGTTAATTGAACATTCGTTATTTAAACATATATTTCTTCACCGCAGCAATGAAAATAAAATTTAATTTAAAATCGACATTTATTATTGAAAATACACGAGAAAAAAAAATCATTAAAAAAACAAATGAAAATAGAAAATTATTTGCAACGTATATTTGCATATTTTTTTATACATTAAGAAATTTGTGTAATTTAGCAATTAAAAAATATACTATTCCTAATTTTTGCAATAAGAACCATTTTTATCATTATCATTAATTTTATAAGCAAATAAATATATTATTTTTCTCAAAATATGAAATAATTGACAAAAAGAAAAATGTTTCATTGTTAAAATTTATTTATCTTGTTTCTCTATTAACTCGAGCAATGAAAACTCTATACTTATGATATTTTCATAAACTATATTTTTCTTTAAATTAAAAAAATTCTTTTACATTTGTGTAATTATTATTCTAATTATATTCATAATATTTACACAACATTATATATCGTATATAATATTATTTTTTGTTAAATAAGTAATAATACTGATACAATGTTACTTGATGAGTAATATGACATGATCATATGTGTATTACTTATACGTGAATATGGATCTCTTGAAACTAAATATTTTGTATTTACGTATTTCTTCTTCTTTCTTTTTCCGTTAGAGACGCATGTGATTCAAAAATCTGATCGTTCTCTCCACCTGTTCCCTTTCTGTTGCAGATTGCATGGCCTGAGGATTTCACGGAGGAAGCGAGAATCGAGCGTCGCGATGGGGTGAAAAGGTTAGTCGGCCCACTTGAAAACTTCTCTGTTCGAGTATTTACCGTGTTACACGCAGCTAAATGTCTCGCATAAGGATGCGCACGTGTTCTTTTCACGAAAGCTGTGAGACTGCTTTCTCGTGTCTTTTCGCTTCCTCTTCGCGAATTTTTTCCGCGAATGGATTAAGTTTTCAGTCTGAGTTATTCGCGAGGAACGTGGTGAAATGTAATTCTGAAAGCTGCAAATTTTCTGTTTCTTAAAAATATGTTTCGTAAATATGAATTTGATCAAGTATACATCGTAGAATGCAATTTTATATTTTTTTTTTTTCACGATAATATCGAAACGACGTAAGAGATAAACAATCGTGTATAAGTTAAGCGTAAATATTGGCCCAATAAAGTATTGACCCAATCCGGAAAATCCCAAACTTTGTTTTCTCTGGTCAAACGAAACTTTTATTCGCTGTTATCTCGCAAATATTTACTACTTCCACTACTTCTACCTCGAAAGTAGCCAATAGAAATATTTTATAGCATTTCTATCCTGCTCTTGACTGAAAACTCCGTGCTAATGAATTTGAGAATGACAAAATATCAATTTGAAATATATATTACATAAAAACACCAAACTTCAAAGAACTTAAGAAAATATATCACGTATAAATTAAATTGCAAATAATCCACATTAAATAATCGTGTAATGCGGTAGGAAAAAATTATTTGTCCTACATTAATACGTTCAAGGATAAATAAAACCCATTGAAAATTCCTCGTACGAGTCGTTGGCCTACGAACATTTACTCTCTATCCCTCCTTTGATCTCTCCTCCTTGGGGCTTTGTTAATTTACTCCCTCGTGTTATCCTTTCGTGCGCTGTCCACCGCGATAACTTCTTGATCCTCCCTGTCCCTCGACAGTCGTCGGACAGTTTCGTTTCCATCGTGCGCGAGATTGTTTACAGAACCCTCAAGCAAACGGGATCCGGACGGGTTTCGAAACTCGACTCGGTATGAATGTCTGAAGTGCGGCCGAGGGTGAGAGTCGTGCTTTTTCGCGTCGCTTCTGAGTACGAACGAAGATTGAAACAAAAGGAGACAGCTTATTGGATCGACGTTTTGCCTCGCGTTGAAAAAAAAAAAAAATTGAAAAGAGTGATACGAGAAAGAAATACTTTGAGAAAATTGTATTAATATTATAATCGTCTCGAGAAACTTTTTTCCCCAACGCGAAGGGGAGATACTTTGACTCAACTGCTTACGATCGATTTGAATTTCAATTTTAATCAAAGCGAATTACTGGCACTGATCTGTTTTCGAAATGGAAGTATCAAGTGTTCAATCGATAACGATTATGCGCATATTCTTCCGAGGGATTGGTTATTTAAGTAAGTTTATTATTCATAAGCTTGGGGGGTGTCGAAATTTGGGCGTGAAAGTTGAAACAGTCAGTTCGTTGGAAGGATGAGCTGTTCGCGGAGTTTTCCAAGTGTCATCTTGGCCTTGGAAAAAAATTCACGGGCAACAAGTGCCTTGTAGTCTCCTTTAAACGGCCGTTCTTGCCACATCTGCATAATAGAATATCTCAGTGTGGAAACAGAGAGCCGCCGATCCGGACAAAGGGGCCGGTAATTCATCTTACTTGCATATCAAACCTCCTGGAACGTGTAATAATTTCATACCGGTCGAAAGAAGAAGAAGAAAAAAATGACTTGCGCTTTATGCTGCAGGGAAAGGAATGAAAAGAAATCGTGGAAATATTTTAATCGTTGCATTATTGCGTAAATTTTTAGAAAAATCTTTATCCACACATTGTTTATGAATTATAATTAAAATGAAACATTTTTTTCTCCGTTTTTATTTATACAGAATACATAGACAATCAATAACAATTTGCAATACTTTGGAATGTACGTCTTTTATAAAAGCCGTGTCAAATACGTGTTACGCTGGAAATAACAGAGATAAACAGAGACTATATTTTCGCTTTAATAGAATATATGAATGTGACTAGAATGTAGAATATGAAAAACACGAGGATGTGTTCAGCATCGTATTTCGTTCACGATTAATTGTACATTTATACCGTGACATGAATAATAAAACGTGATCCACGTTGCCTCAGATTTACTATCTACCGTTACGTGTAATTTGAACAAGATTAATTCTTGAAATCTCGTTACAAGCTTAATTACGAAAAACCAAACAAAGCATCAATAAAATAAACTCGAAATATTTACAATCAGAATAAATACACAGCTTACTTCGATCCCTTTCAATTCTTTCTATTTCTACTATTACTGTTCTTCCTCCACTCTTTTAAAATTCTTCTAATTAACGATTAACGATTATTTATTTCCTTGACAAAGGGAAATCAAAAGTTTCTTAAAAGTTGTCGTATCGAATGTATCGATTCGTAATTGTTCTTTCGAATAAGGGATATTGAAATCCGCGAGGATGGATACGACGAGGATCCATTCTTATCCTGCATTTCTGACGGAAACTATGCTCTCATCCTCTCCCTAGTCTGAGAATATTTACCCGTGCACAGTGTTCGCCGCTTTCCGCGCTAATAAACTGTTCCTCCTACCCTACAGCGTCGCTAATTACTCGACGAACCAACCCTTCGAACATACCTACCCTTCTCGGTTCCAACTCTCTTCTCGAAACGTTGCCTTGTCTGTCTTCGAATCTCGTTCCATTTTCCTCCTTACTTCTCGAGGAGATTAAAAGATATTCCCGACTTTTTACGAGATTATTGAGAAACAATCAAGAGTTTTTTTTATTCGTGAAAAAAATTCGTGTTATTCGATCGCTGGAGACGCATGTCAGAATTATATGGAGATTCAAATTAAATAAATAAGTTTACTTTTTCGAGATTCTTCTTCAAAATCATCTTTTTTGAAAGGTTTCGAAAGCAATGACACCACGAAAGTTAAAGTTCAAAGTTTGAAAATCTTAAACTCATCTGAAAGTTATTCGATGATGTTGTTTGAATTATATTAAACTTATTCTAAGTCAGTTAAAGTTCAGATTATACCGAAATTGGTTGAAAATGATTTGGAATCAATTTAGAATTTGAAATTTATTTAAGGGAAAAAATAATCGAAAGGAAGTAAGATTCTATCTTAAAGAAGCTCTAAATATTTCAGAAACTCGATGTAATGCGATTTTTGTCATTAAAAAACGAGTTCGTTAAAAATAAAAAATTGAAAAGAATCACATTCTTCGACAATATACATGTTAAAATAATAAGTATATTGTAAGTTAAAATTAAAGTAAAATTTTTTTAGACACGTGTTTTTTCATTCTATTTATACGCGACGTGCTAACATGATTTCATTTAACGCTTTCTTCCGAGAACATATCTTCAACTTTAATCAGAATATCACTATGTATTAACATATTTTTCAATTAAATTTTTCACGTATAACGATAGGATACTGATGAATACAAAAATTGAATGAAATATTCTTTAAACATCACTTCTTCAAGAGAATTATTCAGATATCTAATATAAAATTAAAATTAATATTAAAAAAAAAAAAAAAAAAGAAAGATGATTCAAAAATTAAAATATTTTCCAATCCTGGAACGTTTCATTATAATTGTAAGATATTGATGAATTCAAGCGTACACTCATATTATCTTCGATTGCAGTCGATTAAGCAACACGATGAATTATTGGTAACTAAATCGTCCAATAATCATCTTCAGAATCCGCAATCTCTTGCCGGAATTATCGCGAGAAGAATTGGAACTTTCTTAGAGGAGAAGAGAAAACGGAGTAGTAAGTAGAAGAGAAATAGAAATTAGAGACTACCGAGCGGAAAACGTTCAACTCGAATAATTAAGGGCAGCAGCGGGTACCTTTAATTCGGTACGATGCACTCGTTAATATTAAATTCAGTCGCCAACGAAAGATGAGTCGTAACCCCTTCTCGCTAATTTCCTCTCGCCCTGAACTTACGTATTATGAAGGAGAAGAATCTCCGCGAATTTCGAGATACTCGACTGCTGTTGAACAAGCTGAAAACTATAAACTATCCCGACCATCCAGCGAAACTGTTCTGGGGATTTATTAAAAAAATTTCATCCTCCTTAAGGAAAACTTTGTAAAAGCTGAAGTAATGTTGAAGAATAAAACACGAAGGGGGAATATTATTCGTAAACAGAAATTCTTGCGCTGTACCTCTGATCTGAGACTGTTTTTGAAATGAAATGTTAAGTTGTGAAATTTTTATTAATAATGAAAATTATTAATTTAGAGTTTAGTTTAATTTTAAAAAGTTAATTTTATTGATGTAGCAAGCATAATATATAGCAAGCAAATAGAATAAAACAATCACGGTTACATTTATTTTATATTTATCTTATATTGTACTTTTTGGATCCACAATAATTAATAATTGACGTGATAAACGGTGTATCTCCTATAATTTGCCTTTACGATTTTCGAAAAGCTTTAATTACATTATTATTAATTAAATATCTCATATTTCTACCAATTTACCATTTCATTTTCCTTTATCATAATCATATCATAATCAAAACATGAATACTTTAAATCTTTATTAATATAACCAAACTACTTATTATTATTTATTACAGCATTTCTTTATTTAATAATATTTGGATACTTACTTATCCTTTACTTAAAAAAAAATTTTAAAAAATATATTTTTCTTTTCAAATTTATATATCATATTATTTATCATGTTTCTTTCGAATCATATATATAATTTAGAATTTTGATTATTACATTAAAAATTATGAAAAGAATTAAAATAAATTTCACTTCAATAAGCGCAAAAACTTTCAATTACGTAAAACATTCGTTAAACAAAGGAAAGATACCTATAATAATAATAATAATAATAATATCTCCATCTGAGTCTTAAAGACTCATCGCATCCTTTTTAATCCTTGAACTATGAAAGGAACCTAATATTTTACATACATTGCAGCAAATTAAACGAGAATTCTTCTTAATGCAATACAACAAAAGTTTCCAAACAACGA